TAAGCAAATCTCATAGGTGACCTGTTTTGATCTAAAAAAAAGTGAGGTGTCACTGAAAGGTAAGGAGTTTGCATCTATGTTCATGAGCATATGGTGGCTCAAAATGAGAAGCAGAGGTTACTGAGCTCACCTGAGGAGAGCAGGATGTCCAGAAAGGCCTGAAACCAGCCCACTTCCTCTAAATAACACATTCGGTCCAGCAGCATCTGGGCAGCTGTGGTCACAGACCTCATCTCTGTAGAGAGAATACTCTCCACCATCTCTGTGCACAGAGACAATAGAGTAGAGAAGAGTAGAGTAGAGTAGAGTAGAGAGTAGAGTAGAGTAGAGTAAGAGTAGAGTAAGAGTGGAGTAAGAGCGGAGTAGAGTGGAGTAGAGTAGAGTAGAGTAAGAGTAGAGTAGAGTAGAGTAAGAGTAGAGTAAGAGTGGAGTAAGAGTAGAGTAAGAGTATAGTAGAGTAAGAGTAGAGTAGCGTAAGAGTGGAGTAAGAGTATAGTAGAGTAGAGTGGAGTAAGAGTAGAGTAGGAGTGGAGTAAGAGTAGAGTAGAGTAAGAGTATAGTAAGAGTGGAGTGGAGTAAGAGTAGAGTAGAGCAAGAGTAGAGTGGAGTAAGAGTAGAGTAGGAGTGGAGTAAGAGTAGAGTAGAGTAAGAGTATAGTAAGAGTGGAGTAAGAGTAGAGTAGAGCAAGAGTAGAGTGGAGTGGAGTAAGAGTAGAGTAAGAGTTGAGTAAGAGCGGAGTGGAGTAGAGTAGAGTGGAGTAAGAGTATAGTAGAGTAAGAGTAGAGTAGAGTAAGAGTGGAGTAAGAGTAGAGTAAGAGTATAGTAAAGTAAGAGTTAGAGTGGAATGGAATGGAATGGAATAGAATAGAGCTCATACCTGGAAACAGGTTGCAAAAAACAAGAAGTCTTATGGCACAATTCAATGTTTATTTTATAGAGTTCTGGGGCCTTACAGTACATTAACACCCTTGTCAAACTATTTTCTATTTTAACATTACCAAACCAAACAATAGATTTGTAACATTTTTAGATTTTAAACAGATTTTGAATTGAATTTGTGTATGTTATACAGTCATATCATATTTAAAAAAATAGTTGTATTAACTTTAATACATTACATTTCACAGATTTTTATTCAAATGGACTTGAAAAACTGTGTGAAAATGTCAAAATAAATAAATTAAACTAAATTTAAAAAACAGTACAGTACTATAGAGTACAAAATGAATAAATAATAAAATTAAATTTTTTTATTAAATATTTAAATAAATCTAACAGTACAGTACTGGAGCAGAATGAATAAATAGTAAAATTAAATTTATAAAAAATAATTTAAAAAATCAATCTGTCAGTTGCTCAATCTAACATTACAGTAACAAAGGAGTAGAAAAAAAACTATGTAACAAACATTTATTTACATTTATTCAAATCAGAAGCTTTTATCTAAAGCGACTTATAAATGAACAGAAACTAAATATATTCCAAATAATATTTTACACATTCTATTTTTTCACTGTATAAATCGAATTTTTATACAAACATAACAAATATACAGCATGAGGATGATCATATTTATGTGCCAATGACATCTAAAAGACCGAAACCACCTATCTTAAAGCCTTTACATATTTATTAGCATACAGTATGCTCTCTTCATATCACATAATTCTCAATAAGACTTTCATGATCTCCAATAAGATGAAACAATCCTGTAGGAACTAAAAGTGTTTCCAGGAGGTTTCATTCATTCATCTGTCCAGTCACAGACATTAACCAACACAACACAAATACACTTCTGATACAGATCACGCAATATTCAATAAGACTCTAATCGGACAACAAACTGAAGGATGTTTTGACAAAGATAACAAGCAGGTTTGCTACAGACTTTATGAAGCTGATTGGCTGCTTAAGTTGTGTCGGTGTTTATTCATTAACTCTCACCTTCATCCAGGTATGTCGTCATGAAGTTCTTGATGAGTGATGGTCGTAAAAACTTCGTTATATAATCACTAAAGCGCCGCAAATTCTCCTTTTCCAGCTCGTACATCTCTGGAGCTGGGGGGGGGTCCCGGACCTCCCATAAGCATTAAGGGACCCCCCCCCATAACACCCAAAAAATATACTTGGGGGGGGGGGTCCCCTGGTTTTTCAATAAAACTTTAAAACTTAAAATGAAGTTTCGAATGCTGTATTAAATTTTGACACCTGCTTATGTTCCATCATTTTTAATTTTTACGCGTTTTTACAGCGTTGCTCATTATAACCAATCACACACGATTCTGTTGAGCTTAGGAATGCAGTAGCCATATTAGCCAGTGTCCTGACATTTTATTTTACCATTCAGATTGTCCTACCAGGGTTTACTGCGCATGCGCCCACGTCAATATTGTGTCAACAACAATAATTACTGTATTTGCATTACTGTAAGGGGTAGGTGTAGACGTTAATAAAACACAATCTAATAGGTAGAAAAATTAATTTATTGTTGGTTTCCGGCCATAGCTGAATGCCTTCTAGCCACAACCCTGAATAACACATAATTACTGTAATTACTGTAAGGGGTAGGTTTAGGGTTGGTGTTGGTGTAGACGTTAATAAACCATTAGGCTATTTGACAGGTTGTCGAATTGTACTACCTATTGTTTTAATTGGAGAATGGCAAAATCTGACAGGGTAGCACAAATCGACAGAAATGTGAAAACATTTTGAGAACGAATGCAAATTTTGTGGAAGAGTTGTGTAACGTATTTAATTAAAAACTAGAATTCAATGCTTTTGTGTTCCCCGAGAACCTAATGAAAGTTGGCGACTTTACACAACGGGAGCGACAGCAACTTAATACAAACCGGCTGCAAAGTCTAGTAATGTAGGGGACTATACCATTACCTGGAAGACACAGGATTTATCACACTGTTTTATCAAACCTCAACTGGTTAGAAGGGTCTCAGCTCACAAAGGTGACGAACTAATGCTGCGGTTCATAAAGAAAAACACTTTTAGACACAAGATTGTACATCTATTAAATGCATTTATTGATTGTTGGCTGACATGACAGACAGCTGTTGTAAAGAAGGCTTGATGTGTGTTCAGTAGACATGATCAGTGAACTATATCTCCAGGGTGTCACCATAGTCCCGCATACACCAGCACATACACACATACTGCGTAACGGAGGCATGGAGGTGCACGTCACCTGTTCCCTGAGTTTAACAAAGACACAATTCTCCAGGTTCAGCGGGACTGAATAATGAATGATCAGTGGTTCTCAGCCAGTGGGTCGTGAATCAGGATCACAGGTATGCTTTGACAAGATTGTGGACAGAAGCAGAAAAAACTACGCTAAACGCAAATAACAAAATGCAACTAACCATATAATCATGTACACTGTCAGAAAATGTGAAAAATGTACCTTTAAAAGGTAAAACAACATGTCACTGGGGCAATAACCTTAAAAGGACAACTCTGTACTTTATTTAACCCTAAAAGATGCATATTAGCACCTTAATTACTAATATGTACCTTAAGGTACAACGTTGTACCTTATCCAACCCTAAAAGGTGCATAAGGTACCTTAAGTAGCAATATAAGCCCTTAAGGCACAACGCTGTACCTTATCCAACCCTAACTCGTGCATATTAGTACATTAAGTAGTACGGTAATATGCGCCGTTAGGGTACAACTTTGTATCTTGTCCAACCCTAAAAGGTGCATATTTGTGCCTTAAGTAGCAATATGTACCCTTAGGGGCCGTTCACATGTTGCACCTAAAAACGGATGGAAAACGCTAACCGTGCCGTTTTCTCCTTTCCAACGCGCTGTCCCAGTGACAATCTGTTGTACATCTAAAGGTGCTTTCGCACTGCGTAGTTCTAGGAACTTAAGCCTGGAATACACTACACGACTTTTAAAATCTGAACAGATTTTTAAAACACTAGGCATCATACACTTACCGACTTTGTAAATAGTGACAAAGGAAAACTGGCCATCATACACTACACAACTGAGGATCACACACTACCAGACTTTAAAGTTGTTCCCATCACAACAAGCTCATGCAGAAACATGCGCCTTGTTGCTAGGACACACTTGACAAATGAAAACTATATGCATTCTAAAATCGGCTGAAAATATCAAATATGTTTGATATCCTCCGACTGGATGGAATCAAAGTTTGAAGCTAAAAAATCGGAGTCTGTGACCATCACACACTACGCGATTTTCTATGTAATCTGTCAACTCAAATCTGCAGACTGGCTCTGACTTTCGGCAATTAGCGTCAACTTCTCCAGACTGTAAATCGGTGGAAAATCAGGGCAAAAATTGTGTAGTGTATTCCAGGCTTTAGTTATAGGAACTAGCCAGCAGGGTGGTTCCTAGAGAATCAATTTCTCCCTCGGGCCGTTTTCTGGTTGCATTCGAACCACCAGCAGGAACTCTGAAGCGGCCGACAGCGACGTCTTAATTCGCGGCATTTATAAATATCAACAACCGGTGAATGGAGAACGTCGTGATCGGAGCTGTTTTTGTTGCGTGTCGTGAGATTCGTGATAACAGAGATGGAATGTAAATGCACAATTTATGCGATTGAAAGAGCATGAAAATCGGACTAAATCTCCTATGACAACTTGCAGGGTTACATATCATCGAGGCTGAGAAAAGAACACAAGGGTGCAGGCAACAGGTAAATGCCATTATCACTATTTTCCATGTTCGTGGAGTAAATATTTTTACATGGCTTTTTAAAAATGCCGGGTAGCCAATGTTTCGTATGCGTTTGGCCAAACAGCGTACACTTATGTCACTGGTAGTTCCTATAGAACTGTTTTAGCCCCCACTCTGAAGTAGGAGCTAAATTAGTTCCCCCAAATGGAGTTCCTAGAACTAAATACGGTTCTAGTTCCTGCAGTGCGAACACGCCAAAAAGCAGGAACTTCCACCAATAGTTCTAGGAACTATGAAAAGGTTCCTCCGGTGCAAAAGCACCTTAGAGGTACAAGTTTTGCACATTTTTTTCTAAGAGTGTAGGATAGCAAAATAAAGTTTACCATATTTTTTTGTTCGGTTTGTCAAAGGCCCTGCGTCTTGTCAAACAAAATCTGAGTCTTGAAGCAAACAAGCTGAGAACCACTAGCCTAGATGGTAACCCCTATGTATTTGCTGCTACTAGAGATAAGGTTAGGGGAACAAGGGTTGCCATCCAGGCATGATCGTAGTTGGGTTGTGGCACAGAGAATCAGCACCAGATTCGAGGAAGAGGATCACCATAACTATAAATACAACATGAACAATCATAATGATGTTGACAATGGCAAAAAAAATAAAAGAGTTCTCCAAACGTTTAAGCATCCATTTCCAGCAGGAATTCAAACTTTAAATGAGTTTATAAAACGTCTAGAGGAGATTCAGATAAGCATCAGACAAGCATGTGTCTGTAAAAAAGTCTGTTTTTGTTTTAGCTAGCAGTGTTGGTCATCGACTCTTGCGGTCCATTGCCAACGGTGTTCTCATTCTCTACGTTTTCGGCATCTCCTCCCAATCTCTGATTGGTATTTTTGTTGGCTAGAAGCGGGTTCCTGTTGGCCGGGAGAACTCGGCCCCATTTCCCGCTCTGCCCCCGGTAGGAAATCCACAAGATCTTGCAGTATGGTTTCCAGCAGCCTCACGTCCGAGGGTGGGGCCATTATTATCGAATCCACTGGGAAAGGGTTGGGTATAAACTCTTGGTGGTTACTGGCACCCATATTTCTGGAGCAGTCGGAACTACTGTGGTCGACTACATCCACCACACAGTCGTCCAGGTTTAGTGTGCGTTCAGTAATTGGGTCACTGCGGCCCATGGGACTCGAAGGCTCGGATAGAGAATTTGAAGAGTCCAAGGTACAACTTGCGTTCTGGATGGAATCTTGCTTAGGAGTCTCATCCCTCTGCTCGACATCAGCAGCGGTTTGGTCTATAACATCCATGACGCGGTCCAGACAGTCGATGGTACGGTCGCTGTCGCTATCGATCGTGATCACAGTGGGAGAACGCAGTTCCCTCCTTCGCTTCCGGTGCCTCCTCTTCCTCCGCTGGACCCAGTACGGGTCAGGCGGCCTTTGTTCGTAGATGATCTCCACACTTGGAGATCGTTCCCTGCTTCGTCGCCGCTCTCGGTGCCGCTTTTCCTTGCTTGCGGTTCCTTCCTTGTGCTGCCGCTGGGCTGCTCGCTCCAAGTGCCGGGTTTTGTACTTGCGTTTGCCACTGGGTTTGTCCAGGCAGGATTTTTCGGAGTGTGAATCAGCGCCGCTGCTGCTGACCGACCGCTTGCGCCGTTTACGACAACGCTTTGCCTCACAGGGATGGTGGGAACCAAGGAACGAGTCCAAGTCGGGTGACCTACTTTCCTTGGTTCTCCTCCTCCTGGAGTTGGCAGGAGAATGTGAGAATCTCTCTCTCGCATGGCGCGAATGCTCTCCGCTCTTATTTCGAGAAGGAGAGCAGTCGCTACTGTGTGACTTAGAGGCAGGGCTACCGCTCCAAACGGACACTGCTGGGCTTTGTGTCCAGCTCTGTGTTTGGCTTGGTGAGCAATCCGGGGTCTTGACGTGCCGAGATTGTTCTAAACTCTTATCCTTCTCTTTGCTGCCAGAGCGCCGATGACTTCTGTGCCTCTTGTGACCTCTGCACCTGGAGTCACCTCGACTCTGCCGTGAATGTGACCGTGAACCATCTTTGGACTGGTGACCACGGAAGGACAAGTAGTCGGCCTCTTGTTCTCTGCTGTGTGACCCGACTCCATCCGAGTGTAAATGCTGTGGACTGCACAAGGGAGCAGGGCCTGGGGAGGAACTAGGGCTAATTGGGATCATGTGTGACTGTAATGGGAGCTGCACTTGGGATGCCTCTGATTTCATTACTGAGGCCATTGTCTCAGTGGTGGCTGGCTCTTGCTCCTCTTCAGACGAGTCTGAAGAGAGCTGAACAAGTTCTGGAGTCCGTTCGGCCATTGGTTTCACGTATCCCACAATCAGGCACTCTTCCTCTTCGTTATCTTCACCCGGTCCGGCTGACACTCTGCCACTCGTCACAGGGTCAGTCATATCCAGGGCGCTGAGGGGAGGGGTTGTGCTTGCACTTGGCTCCGCCCCCTCACCATATGATTGGCTGGAAGAGGGGAGGAGGGTTGAATAGGAGGGACCAGGCGTCTCATCATCCCACGCTGACTGACTTGGCAAACTTTCCGCTCCACTTGCTGTGGCAACAGATGCAAGGCGTTCCTGGACAGCAGAGGGATTCTCTGTGACATTGTCCTCACTGTCATTATCGTCGTCATCCTGTGAGAAAAGACAACAATGAAGACTTGGATAAACTGAACCAGAAACAGATTACATCCCCCTGCAGTGCTCTGACATGATCTGCTTACAATAAACAGAAACAGTGTCACCACACTTAACAGGGGACGGTTTCAGTAGAATAACAACTTAAATGATGTACTGTTCCTCACACAAAGTTATCATTAATTAATAAGATTTTAAGAGATTTATAGACATACTAAACAATATTTAGATTTATGTATTTGGTGGACACCCTTTTGTGCATTACTTCTCACCGTGGAGGAGTAAAAATGGTGAAAAAGGAATAGGAAATTGTTTAAAAAATTTTTTTGGGAGCTTGACACCCTCTGGTTGCTGCTTTCAGGGTCAATCCATCTCAAATGGTCCAAAGGAGGTTGCTTGGCTATTTTTTTATTTATTTTTTTATCAGTTTTTGTTTTGGGGGCTTTAGGGCCATCTTGAGGTAAGATGTTGAGGTTTTTGTAAATGTCTGTGCAACCCAAAATTTATTGTGGGCCATGACACAAAAATGGCCATTGTGGCCAAACCAAATAAAATACAAACATTTCTTCCATGCTTTAATTCTAACAGCAAACCTTTGTTTTGCAGAACTTTGTAAAGAATGGTAAAATTGTCATTTGATTACATTTGAAAGGATTACTTAAACTGTTAATGTTTTATGCCTTCATTTGACTACGACATACAACACAGAATTTTTGAAAAGACAAAACATTTCATAGGGCCCCATTATTGTAAAAATTGTAATTATTGAATTACTTTTTAAATTTGCTTAATGAATGAATGAATGAATTAAATGGATTAGACATGCTTTACGATGATTGAAATTGAATTAAACCATTAAAATGGAATCCTGTATAAATAAAAATCAAAACACAGAATGTTGGAAAAAAATAAAATGGATTTCATAGGGCCCTAAAAATGTAACTTTTGTTAAGCTTTAAATAAATGGATGTTTCCATTTCAAAATTCCATACTTTTCCAAACTCAAATTTCCAAACCTCTCAGTAGATTTTCATACAATATTTAGCAAATGGTCCATAGAGCATTATTTTCAGCTTTATATTTGGTATATAGTTCAGTCATCTGTAAATATTTGTAATTTTCTCTGGGGGTTTTTTTCATTGATTTTCTCGTGACAACATACAGAGTCCCTAAAATAAAAAGCCCTTAGGTCTCTTTAACACATTCTTTGTAGAGGCCAAGAAACCACACTGCGAAATGGGCTGATGGCATGATAGGTGGCTCAGTGTGCATTGTCCTATATGCTAAGTTTAATGGTTTTTCGTGCGCAGATAAAAGTCTGTAATATATATTTTTTTTTTTGCAAAGGTCCTTGAGGCTATGTAATACGGGGCTAAGAATATTGTGAGAAGAAACCCAAAATGCTTATAACCTGCATTTTGCAAAGTGCATATTTGACAATAACTAAAGAATCACTAAACAGCTGCCATGAAATCTCCCATCTTGTACAATACATTTATTTTCATTAAATTCTTAATTTTCTATTTTAAAACACTAAATAGCGACAAAAGTCTGGAAACACAAATATCTTTCCATACTCTGCTTTCATTTTTCCATACGCTTCTAGACCTGAAAAATACCATACTTTTTCCAAACCCCTTAGGAACCCTGTTAACAGGGCCCTAATCAAGGTAATAAAAAAGAATGCCCAAGCTACTAACTTTTTGGACCACTTGAGATGGAATGACCCTAAAAATGAAAGCATTTAGCAAAACAGAACAAAGTCATACAGGAAGGAAAGTAAACTCAGAAACTAATTCACAAAACGTAATGTTTGAGAGTCTCACCTCGGAGATGGCGATAACAGAAAGGTCCGAGCTGCTGCCCTCCTCGTAGCTGGGAGCGGGACAGTCGTAAACAGCCTGCTGGTCGTACACCTCCATGTTGAGGGTGGAGCGGGCGAAGCTCACCAGCTCGTGCAGGAAGTGGTCGGTGCGCGCCAGCAGGAAGGGGCGGAGCTCGTCCCGGATGGCCGAGTCCTCCATGTTGTAGTTCATGATGCGTGAGATGATGATGTTCTGCACGATGTTCACCAGCGAGCCGTGCGAACCGTATAGCACCATGAGCTCGCGCTGCAGCCAAGGCAATAGCCGTCGCAAACAGCCGGGATTTTGTCTCAAGAACACGGCGGAAATGTCCCTCTGCCTGCCAGCGTCCCTCGAGCTGCGCACTCGCACGCCGGTCCTATAAAGCGCGCGTCGGAACGCCACAACATCTTGGTCGCGCAAACGCCGCAAGCTCCGCCCCTCGCCACTCCCATGTCTGCGTGCTGTTAATCGCAGCACCATCTGCTGCACGTCTTGGTTCTCTGCGAGCGCCGCTGCGTCCGTCAGGCCGTCGAACATAACGTCATCCTCTTGCGGAGGGGAGGAGGAAGGGGCGGGGTTTTGCGCTCTGTGGCTCCGCCTCTCCCGGCCTCGGAGAACTCGGGGGCGGAGCACACGCTCAGGCGGATCGGCGTTCGCAGGTGCTCCATTCTCCGGCGGACGCAGCACGAACTCCTTAAAGTCGTTTTCCCCTTTGACAGAGTGGAATATGGAGTGGAAGGGCTGCTTACAGAGCGGACACTCGGCTTTGTTCTTGGACCACTCGTGGATGCAGCGGAAACAGAACTGGTGCAGGCAACGGTCCAGCGACGCCACGTTATTGAAGCCG